TTATTTTTAAAACTATAATCTTATTGATATTATTAGAGTATGATACAGAGGGTTACTGTTTCACAATGCAGGTAATGTGTGTATTTCTCTTTTGGAAAATGTCACCCCTTCCTTCACTTTCCCCAGTTTTCCTCTCCTGTCCCTGCCCACATAGTTGCATAGTTTCATAGTTCATTTCCCACATGGTGTACACTGAATACCATGATTACATTTGTTCATGCTTCCTCCCTCCCTTTCTGCATCCCTTTTTTGCCCCCTTTAAGCAGAAAAAGAAAAAAAAAACTAAACAATCCACGCAGACAACAACAACAACATAAATAACCCATGTTTCGTTTCCTGGAATTCATTTCAATAAATAGTATTTTACATGTTCAGGAGAGTTATGTCTTTGGTTTGGTATCCTCCTTTAATCTGGTTGTGTGCAAATATCATGTAGCTTCCACATATGAAAGGATACATGTACTGTTTGTCTCTTGGAACTGGGCTTACCTCACTAAACATGATTTGTTCTAGGTCTATCCATTTCCCTGTAAATGACACAATCTTATTCTTTTCTAATGGATAAGTAAAATTCCATTGTGTATCTATATCCAAATTTTTGATCCACTAGTCTACTCTATGCTCATCTGATAACATTATCCTATATGTATAATAATTATTGCAAATGAGGGAAAACCATGGGATCTAAATTTCTTTGGGACTGGCTTACTTCACTTAATATGTTTTTTTTTCTAAGTCTTTCCATTTCCTAACAAATGGGGCAGAGTGATTCTTTCTGATGGAAGCGTAGAATTCATATCAAATTACTTGATCCATTCATCTATTGAGGGGCATCTGGGTTGGTTCCATATCTTAGCTATGGTGAATAATGCTGCGATAAACATAGTTGTGCTGGTAGCTTTAGTGTGGCCTCGCATGTGTTCATTTGGGTAAATGCAGAAGCAGGATTGCTGGGTCATAGGGGAGCTCTATGTGGAGTCTTTTGAGGAACCTCCATACTGCTTTCCAGAGTGGTTGAACAAGTTTACACTCCCACCAACAGTGCAATAGGGTTCCCTTTTGGCCACATCCCCTCCAGCATCTGTTGTTATTAGATTTCTTGATTATAGCCATTCTAACTGGGGTGAGGTGGAAGGGCCTATTTTTTTTGAAAAACATTTTTTTTATTGTCAAGATGATGCACAGAGGGGTTATAGTTACATAAGTAAGGTAATAAGTACATTTCTTATCAAGTTGTTACCCATTTCCTCATTTTTTCAGCCTGTTTTGTACCCATACAAATTGCTTTTGTGATTATAGCTCTGTAGTAGAGCTTGAGGTCTGGGATGGCCACACTAGCAGCATTGTTATTGTTGTTTCCCCAGAATTACTTCAGCTATTTGTAGTCTTTTGTTGTTCCATATAAATTTTTGGATTATTTTCTCTATCTCAGTGAAGAAGGTCATTGGGATTTTGATGGAAATTTCATTAAATTTGTAGCTCACCTTTGGCAGTATGGCCATTTTCATGATATTCTACCCATCCGTGAACTTGGGAGTTCTTTGCGGTTTCTGATGTCATCTTTGATTTCTTTCTTTAGATTTTAACAGTTCTCATGGAAGAGGTCTTTTGCTTCTTTGGTTAGGTTTATTCCTATTTTTTTTGAGGCTATTGCAAATGGAATTTTTCTGATTTCCCTCTCTGCTTATACATTGCTGATATACAGGCTACTGATTTTTGTGGGTTGATTTTGTATCCTGCTACTTTACCAAAGCTATTGCTCAATCTCTCTTAATAACATAATTAGCACTATTTTCCTCTGCTGTCACCACAAGGACAATTAAATTTCAACATAGGTTTGGATGGGGACAAACCACATCCAAACCATAGCAGTATGAAAAAAAATCTACTCAAAACTCTGGAACTTGAAGCTCTTCTGCTCATACCCAATGTTCTCCTCCTTTCATATTGAGAAAAAGTTTGACTCCTAGCTCATATAATACACAATAGTAAATTACAGATAGATAATGTGAAATACCTTATTTTTCTGTCTTGGTGCTGGGCATAGAACCCAGTGAGTTCACATGCTGAGTTCACTGAAGATTTATATATGCTAAGCCCACATTCTTCCACTGACCCATATTCCTAGTCCCAGATCTCAGTTATAATATCATAGGAAGATAATTTCCACTGAAATTTTAACCTCACTGCTTATGTCTATCCTGAAATACTCAAACTGGACTAAATCCATGTACAAAGTGATTTATCGAAGAAATGTTTGGAGTTGTGGAAAACTGGAGATAAAATATTCCTCAAAAACAAATAAATTAAGATTCATCCTTATAGAATGTTAAGACAGTTTTTTTTTAAAATAATAGAGTTGGTGGGCATTGGTGGCTCATGCCTGTAATCCTAGCTACTCAGGAGGCTAAGATCTGGGGATCATTGTTTGAAGTTACCCCAGACAGGAAGTCTGTGAGACTATTATCTCTAATAAACTGCTCAGTAGTAGAGTGCTAGTCTTGAGAAAAAGAATCTCAGGGATAGCACCTAGGCTCTGAGTTCAAGGCCAAGCACCAAAAAAAAACCCCCAAAACAAAAAAACACAACAACAATCAAAAACAACCAAACAAACAAATAGGGTAATACAGGTCAGGTACAATGGCATATGCTTGTCAACCCAGTGGCCAAAGGAAGCACAGATAGGAGGATTACAGTTCAAGCTGGCTCAGGCAGAGAGTGAAACCTCTCTGAAAAATGACTAACATAAAAACTGCTGGTGGAGAATCAATTCCAAATGGATCAAAGACCTTGAGGTAAAAGCAGATACCCTAAAAATATTACAGGAAGGAATAGGGGAAACACTAGGGCTCTTTGGCACAGATGGAAACTTTTTTAATAACCCAGAAACACAAGAAATCAAAGAAAGGTTGGACAAACGGGATTGCGTGAAACTGCAGAGCTTCAGCATGGCAAAGGACATAGCTATCAAGATCAATAGAAAGCCCATGGATTGGGAGAAGATCTTCACTAGCCATACAACAGACAAGGGTCTTATATCTAAAATATACTTAGAGCTCAAAAATTTATTCCCCCAAAAACAAATCCTCAAAGAAATAACCACCCCATTAACAAATGGGCTAAAGACTTAAAGAGAAACTTCTCTGGAGAGGAAATAAAAATGGCCAATAGATACATGAAGAAATGCTCAACATCTCTGGCCATAGAAGAAATGCAAATTAAAACAACAATGAGACTTGCCTTACCCCAGTTAGAATGGCTATAATCAAGAAATCTAGTAACAACAGATGCTGGCAAGGATGTGGCCAAAAGGGAATGCTACTACACTGTTGGTGGGAGTGTAAACTTGTTCATCCACTTTGGAAAGCACTATGGAGATTCCTCAAAAGACTCCACATAGAGCTCCCCTATGATCCAGCAATTCTATTCCTGGGCATTTACCCAAATGACCACAAACAAGACCATACTAAACCTACCAGTACAACCATGTTCATTGCAGCATTATTTACCACATCTGTTATGGAACCAACCCAGATGCCCCTCAATAGATGAATGGATCAAGAAGATGTGGTTTTAATACACAATGGAATTCTATGCTTTCATCAGAAAGAATGATACTGCCCAATTTGTGAGGAAATGGAAAGACTGGGAAAAAAATCATACTGAGCAAAGTAAGCCTGGTCCCAAGAAAAGTAGGTTGCATGTTTTCCCTCATTTGTAATAAGTAGAATTGTTTAGGATATTCTTAACAGGTGATCACAATAGCTCAACTGCTAAATGTATAGGACCATATATAATGAAGCATATCAAAATGAACTCTAAGAACTGGAAACAAGAGCTTCTTATTATGTCACGTATGCAGTTATTTCTAATTTTTTTCTGATTTAGCCTTCTGTACTCTTTGTCTTGTATATAAGCTTATCTGATACATGGAAGGGAAAGGGAATCACATAAACAGCAGGACAAAGGATGAACTAATGCAACACAATGATAATCACTAGACACTATGTTGGAAATGAACTATACAACTTACAGGGGGAGGGGAATATGGAAGGGTAAACAGGAGAAAATGAGAAAGGAGGTAACAGTGTTTAAAAAGAAATGTATTCACTACCTTATTTAAGTAACTGTAACCCCCCTATTTGCCACTTTTACAATAGATACATATTTTTAAAAACTTCTGGTAGGGTGGCTCAAGTGACAGAGCACCTTCCTAGCTAGTGTGAAGCCCTGAGTTCAACTATCAGTACCTCCAGAAAATAAAACAACACTGGTGAACTTCATATTATACAGCACAGAAATATCTCTATGCATGTCATAATTTATTTGAATTCAGCTTTTCATTTGTAAAAACTACAAGTTGGACTAAAAAGCTCTTAAGATTTGGCTGAGGGTGGAGTTCACTGATAAAACTCTTGTGTAGCATGCACAAGGTTCTGGGTTCAATCTTCAGCAATGTAAAAATAAATCAAGACATAAAGACAACTTTAAGATTATTTTTAATCTCTTTCTATGGAAAGAAAAGCATAGCATACCACTCAAGAATTTTAAATAGCTCACTAAGAAAAAAAATACTGGAATGCCTGGGTGTCAAAAATATTCCCCAAAGAATCCCTAAGCCCTGTCTATAAGACCAGCATCAGAGGATGCTCCTCTGAACTCAGTGACTGCTGCCAATTAGGTTTCCAAACTTGCATGTGTCAAAAAAAAAATTCCTAGGGACTGATGAAAAGGAAAGGATTTCATGTTTAAACAAAGATAACCTGAGATAGAGGAAGTTTTATTTCCATTTTTACTCATTTTCTATAACCACCTGAGAATGAAATAGTTCCGTGTTGGGATTATAGGAAATTTACTTGCCCAGCTTCCCCATGAGGGAAGCGGGTATGGAGCATTTGACTCATCTTTCAGGATTACTTTGAAGAAAGAGGACATTCGAAAAGTCATCTGAAAACAGAGCACACCAATCCCAAAGGGAGGCTAGCAATACATTTCCCACTGATAACACCAAATCCTGGATGCACTCTGGACAGTCATTTCAATTCTTTCTTACAGTCAGAAAGGCCTCTGAAGCTCATTTGAATCTGGAATTATTTCATATGTTGGCTGGAAATTACAAAGGAAAATTTCAGAAAATTTCAAAGGACACTTTTAACTGCTCTTCATTAGACATAAACTCAGCAATTTACTTCTTAAGATTAGGTTGAATTTAGCACTGGTTGAGTCAAAATCTGCTTCTATCTCTGAGCAGTTCTTGCTGTTGTCAATGTAGCTCTATGTGGACAGGAGAAGAGAATATGGCCCATTGTCTTACCAGATGCTAATTATGGTCTGGATTCAACAAAAACCATCTGTCCTCCACGAAGGGAAAGTAACAAGAGACACTGAAGCCAGGCTGAGCTTTTTGTGACGGGGCACACTTTTTTTTTTTTTAACTGAGGCTCACATTGTAGTTTGTGATTAGCAAGCAAAAAACAAAACAATTACGAAAGCTGACATGGTTTGTGGATTTTCTCTGCTAATGATAAAATCTCTAGCCAAATCTCAGAATGGAACAGGGCAACTTGAGCCTGTATAGTTCCAGCTGCTCAGAAAGTTGAGGCAGGAGCATCTCCTGAGCTTAGGAGTTGGCAGCCAGTTTGGGCAACATAGGAAGACCCTGTCTGTCACAGAGTCTTCTTTAGAAAGAGGAAACAGACTTTGAAACAGCAAATTTTTGCTTACATTATGTATTTACACATGACACAATTGATGCTTCATTATTCTTTTTGTACTTCTGGGAAACATACAATAAAAGCAGTATCCAAGAACGCAAGCAATTTTATCATTATTTATAACCACTGATAATTTAATTGAAAGCATGAATGACTGAGATAGTATTGATGAACATGTAGAATAAATGTTCAATATTTGGTTTCTACTTACTTGTAATAGAGTAATACTTTCACATTAATCTTGACATTTTCACTTTTTAGTATTCTTTTCCTATGGAAGACTTCTATTATGTACTAGGGACAATAGGGTCTAAACCAGCTAAAATGCAAAGAAAAAAGTTGGGTGAATGCTTAGCATTCAATTTTAAAAACTTGGTTTTCAAGCTCTAGAACCAAGAAAGGAGTGTATCCCCAGCTTGCTGTATCCTCGCCAGCAAGGAGTACTGTAATTGTCTTTTGTTAATAACATGTTAGAAAATTGTTTTCCTTTGTTATTGTATAGCTGTTAGTCATTGTACTTTTGTGTGAATTGTTTATGTTCTTCTCCAAGTTTTGCACTGGAATATCTTGGATCACTCCTTATTTTCTGTATTAACATTCTGTATCATTCATACACAGTATTTTCCTAGGGTGAATCTTTTCTTATAGTTTCTGATGTTTTGGACCTATAAGTGTGTGTGTGTGTGTGTGTGTGTTTGTGTGTGTGTTGCTATAGATCAAACCTGGGCCTTATACATGCTAACCAAGCACTTTGCTACATCCTCAGCTCCAAGTTTAATATTTTTATATAATAAAAGTTTCTTTTCCAATGTTACCTTTCTGCCAATAGGTAGGTGCTGGGGATATAATAATCAAAATAGTGTGGGAGAGATGAGTCACTCACAGGAGACAATCTCTGAGCAGTTGGGGGTTATGGAGTATGTGGTATAACTGCACTCAGAACACTACAGAAATGAAGCAAAGTCAGGGAAAAATCTTACCAATCTTTGCTTTATTTTCAGAGAATTCTCTTGAACTAACCTGATGAATTAAAACAATTTCTGCAAAAGGCTAAATCTGATTACCATGGAACGTTATCCATGCTCTAGCAAGGAGGCAAAAAGTCATCAGAAATAAAGAGAATGATTTTTAAACCAAGTGAATAATTTTATTTATTTTTTGGTCATGGGGCCTGAACTCTGGGCCTGTGCGCTGTCCCTCAGCTCTTCAGCTCAAGGCTAGCACTCTTACCACTTGAGCCACAGCACCACTTCCGGCTTTTTCTGCTTATGTGGTGCTGAGGAATTGAACCCAGGGCATGCAAGGTAAGCACTCTACCACTGAGCCACCTTCCAAGATCTTATTTTATTTTTTATGAGAATAATTTCAAAAGATTTAGAAAAACAACAAACTATACCTTCAGCAAGATTTCATATCAGAATTTAGAGGAGTAGGGCTGTAGACGACTTAGACTTGGCTTTTATACAACAAACTACTAGCGTATGTGAACAATAAAAACAATCTTTCTTGTAATCAGAGAAGTGCCAACTGAAACAGAACACCATTTAATCCAATCAGATCAGCAAACAGAGTTCTGGGATAGGGACCTTTTTATAGTGACAGTGTGAGTACAAATTAGGATACTTTTTAAAGAATGTAATTTGGCTATATTTATAAAGCATTAAATTTATAATCCCTAACTTATCAATTCTACTTCCTGTAAACTTTTATGTGAATAGATATAGTAAAAATATATACATAAGGATTTATGACTTGTTCACTGGCTTGCTCCGAAGGCACCCTACAACTTGAATGACACTTCTAACCTTGTTCTTTGCCAGTTATTTTGAAGATGATGTCTTGTGGATGATGCCTTCTGTACAGGCTGGTTTTGAACCTCTGTACTCCATATCTGAGTCTCCTAAGTAGCTACTGGTGTCTAAATGCTAAATCCTTTTCCTTCTTTTTTTTTTCCAGGGCTGAGGACCGAACCCAGGGCCTTGTGCGTGCTGGGTGGGTGCCCTTCCGCTGGGCTAAACCCCCAGCCCCTAAATCCTTTTCCTTCTAAATGCTAAAATATTTATCAAATAGTGCAGTTATGGGTTTTCTTTAATGTCTCTTGAATTTTCTAGTTTTTCTTTTTTTCCCTTCTGTGCTAGGGATTGAACCAGGGCCTACTGCTGGCCAGTCAAGTTTGACCACTTATGGCATGTTCTTAGCCCAAATTTCTTTTCTTAAAGGACAAGTGTGTTTTTGCAACCTGTCTTGCTGTATTGGGGGAAATCTTCAAGTGGGAGGTGGTGAGATCCTGGTGGAGGACCAAGAGGCTTTGAGTACTCCAAGAGATAGTTGCGCCATTGAAACCTGACCAAATATTGCACTTTGGTCTAAGGCCTAGGAGGTGCTGGGCCTGATGGGCAGCTTTGTGAAAGCAATTATTTCCTATTGTGCTTAAGCAATGATCCGATCAGAAAATCCAACCATGCACCTCTTTTCTCACTCAAAAGCCAGCTACCCATGAAAGCTGTCCTGATTGTGTTTTACCCGTTAGAACTTCTGAGATGCTGCGTACTGATTCTGTCACCATATGAAATCCTGTCTCCCTATCATGGCATGTCCAACATTCTGCTTGGAGATGTGCAAACTTTAGGAAGTTCCCGGGTAACTGAGAAAAGGGGAAATAATTTCCAACCTGAGGTTATGGTTTGTAAGCTGAAGTGTTATGATTTATGTCAACTTAGTTGGGTTATAGTACCAGATATTTGGCCAAATAAATCTGATCATAGTTATGAAAGTTTAAGATTAAACCTTCCATAAGTCAATTTAGTTGAAGTTCTTAAGATGACTTTGGTCCTCCTTCTGCTTTCATAGTTGGGTATAGCACCAGCTCTTGCCTCCAGCCTATAATGTATCCTACATATTGTTGATTTGCCAACCTCCTCAATCACACAGTTCCTTAAAAATCATACCACTTACCTCAACACTATATCCATTTCTCCTATTGGTCTATTCCCCTGGAGATGCTGGCTCATGTGATTCTTTGGGATGAATGAAATAGGAAGAGAGCAATAGGGTCATCCTCATTCTATTAGTATACATACACGAATCATTATTCCCCCAAGAAAATTAGGACTAAATGGTCATGGTTGGATTAAAAGAAGTATTATTTGCATTATTACAATCACTTTTGTTGTTGTTGGTCATGGGGCTTGAACTGTAGGCCTGGACGTTGTCCCTTAACTCTTCAGCTCAAGACTAGCTGAGTCACATGGCCTCTCCGGTTTTCTGGTGGTTAACTGGAGATAAGAGTCTCACAGACTTTCCTGTGCAGGCTGGCTTTGAACTGTGATCCTCAGACCTCAGATCCTTAGCTAGGATTAGAGGTGTAAGCCTGGCACAACCATTTGTTTTTGTAGAAGAAATCTGATGTATTATAGATGCAGTTTATTCAGATAGTCTAGAACAGAGCTATGACTAGACTAGTTTCTCTAGGCTTCATATTTTTCTTACCATTCAAACATATAGATGGCTAGGTAAGCAGTCTGAGATAAAGGGGATGCAAATTTTCAGTTTTCAAAAAGACATGGCCTTAGCCAGGTGTGGTGGCTCATACCTGTAATCCTAGCTACAAAGGAGGCTGAGATCTGAGAATCATGGTTCAAAGCCAGCCCAGGGAAGGAAAGTCTGTGAGACTATCTCCAGTTAATACCAGAAAACCGGAAGTGGTGCTGTGGCTTAAGTGATAGATTGCCTTGAGCTGAAGAGCTGAGGGAGAGCATCCAGGCCCAGAGTTCAAGCCCTATGACCGACAAAAAACAAGCAAGCAAACAAACAAACAAAAACATGGCCTTAATTAACCTTTTCAGAAGAGTTGGGAAATCAAGAAAAATGATACTAGAAGAAAAAAAAAAGAGTAAAAAGAGGCCAGAGCTCTTTATTAGCTTAAATGGCTCTGGAAAATTATGACTTTTCCAGAGATTTTTGCCAGAAGTGTCAATTGATTTAAATCTTTTTAAAGGGAGAGACCACAACAGTTTGCTTTCCTATAGAAATGGTCTTTTTAGGTGTTAGCTAACAATATGAAAGTTTAGAAGATCAGAACACTAAAGATTGCTCCTTATGGCCTCATGTGAGCACAGACACAGTTACCTGAGAAATCTGACCCTATATAAGAAGGAACCCAGCTTTTTCCTGATCTGAGGCCAGTTCTGAGGGCAACAGAATCTCCCAGCCAAATTCTATTACACAAAATCCCAGAGATATTTTCAAAAATAATTCTAATTTAATTTCTTCTTATAAAAAGATAAATTGCATTCCAGAAAATATTGTTTAGATTATGAGGTTCCCATCAGTGCTGTTTTGCAATATGTGTTTATAGTTTCTGAAGTGAAGTCAGCAGCATACAACTATAACTATATAACTGGGTTGGGTTTATGCACATGTGGAGGCTATACTTCACTTTGGATCAACAAATGTTTGTTAACATTCCACTACCTATGTGTCAACTACGTTTGCATTTGGTTTTGAACATTTGAATAGGGATAAAATGAGTTAAAAACAAAACCACAACTAGATTCTAAAAAGCAATGTTTGTAAAGAAAATATGCAGCATCAATATTTTCTTCTGTTAGCAATGAACTCAAATATCTGACATTCTTGAATATTTAAAACTAAAGTTTCTGGAGAGAAGGTTTTATAGAATCTTTCTGTTTGTAAGACCTAATGTGTTACTAATTATTTCCTTTATTGCCCAATTGTGCTTTGCTATCCAAGATTCACAAAAACAAATATTGCAATATGTTAAAGATACAAAGAGAGAATAAATAACTCCATGAAACATCACCTCTATACAAATAAATTTTGGCATTTGCTATATTTAAATTTTTATTTAATTAAAAAAGATTAAACTACAAAAGGGCAAAGAAAATTAGAGCACAAAGAAGCTAAACACATTTCATCAAACATGTCTTAGAGGAAATTTATGCAAGCACTTAATAACATACATGAATCTATTTGCTGATGAACATACCAAAAGTAAAATTTGCAGAGCTATTAGTAGGAACCTGAAGATGTCTTTGAGGCTTTATAACGCAGTTATTACCACCTGTTCCTTAAGTACCAACAGAAAGAACTCATCTGTTTCTCCTTTAAGAGTTCTTCACAAAAACTGTCTTGCTTCATTTTAACTGTGTAGTTTCTCTACTAGATTAAAAGTACCTTTAGGATATGCATGAACTGTTACATATCTTTATGCATATCTTTATCTCCTCCAAAGCAATGAACATCACTGAACATCAATTATTTATGGAAATGAATACAAAACAACAAATAAACAACAAATAAAAATTCTCTTGGTAAAGTCCAAGAAGAAATAGAAAACTTCTCTACAATTACAGTTAGTGGTTCCATAGTATTTTCAAAATATATTTATCATAAATTTCCCTAATATAGTCCCTTTTTATGGATAAATTGTTCTTATTCCAATGAAATAGTGTAAGATTTGATGTGACCTGGTTTCCAACTTATTTACATTTTTTTGTCCTTTTGGGTTTAGTATTAGCATACTACATATCCATCCATAGGTTTTCTAAAGACCCTTTGAAATCCATTTAAAGAATTTAACTATAATGTCCTTTTTTGGTTAGCTGTGGGGCATGAACTTAGTTCCTGGGCAACTGTCCCTGAACTCTTTTTGCTCAAGGCTAGTGTTCTACTAGTCTGGGCCACAGCGCACCTTCCAGTTTTTGAGTGGTTAACTGAAGATAAAAGTCTCTTAGCGACTTTTCTGCCTGGACTGGCTTTGAACCATGATCCTCAGATCTCAGCCTCCTGACTAGCTAGGATTACAAGTGTAAGCCACCAGGGTCCAGTGTAACCTTACTGTCTTTTATGGTGAGATAAATAAGCTAAATTTAAACAAACTAAGGTTAACCACATCAGAACAAAGAGTGAAAGCATTTAAATTAGGTTAGAGATAAAAGGAGAGCTCAAAACTGTCATGTTATTTAAATGAGCTCTTGTCATTTTAATATGTGAACTAAGAAACACTCAGTTTTCTGACCATGTTCAATAACAAGCTAAAGAGTCAATCTCATGAAAAGAAACTTAGGAAGACAAAGCCATTCAGCTAGAAGGTCTAACATAGGATTTTAAAAGTTCTAAATTATTAACTCTTCCAAAAGGACAAAAACAATGATTCATACTCTTATGTTTAGAAAATAATGTTCTTGTCACTTTTGTTCATGAAATAGGCAAAATCACATCAAATCACCTTAACACATACATTTAAATACATTATTAAAAAGAGGCAATGGAAACATACTTTTAAAGTTCTTAAAAGACAGGGGAGGCAACTAGGAATATAAACAGGGATTAAGCCTAGAACAGCTCTTAAAAGTACCCAGTTTTGAATCCTGTCAGTTAACTGAACAAGACAGAAGCCATTTATAAGTTCCAGAGGTTTAAGAGCACCTTGCACTACCTGTCCCTTATACTCCTAAGACAGGTTGACAAAGAGGTCAAGAATGTAATTCATGGGGTTGGAAGCATAGCTCAGGTGGCAGAGCAGCAGCCAATGAGTGAAAGTGTCAGATAGTCTTGGATAAAAAAAAAAATCTAATTCACAATTTTCTACTTAACCTAAGAAAAGTCTCGACTAACAAAAACTTTTTAGACCATCTCCATAATAAACACAACTATGTTCAAAAGATGAACATAAGGTTTGTAGAAATGAAATGGCACAGTGTTTGAGATTGACTCTAAAAATACTTCGGTGGAAAAAAAGGACACTGAATAGATACACCATGTCATCATTTTTGTTCATCTACATACTGCTCTGGAATCTGTATCATTATGACACATTTCAAAAAAAAACAACAACAGAAATGTTAGCCTAAAATTAGTTGTCAGTAGTCTTGGGCTGAACACAGAGGCTGTAGTATAGGGAAGACATTTAGATTTAGCTTGGGAGAAAAATGAAGAGTGTTAGTTGCAAGAGTCCAGATTCCTAATCCTCCTTTCAGGTCTAAGTTTTCCTTGAGACATTTAACTCTACCCAGCCAGTTACAGGTGTAAGCACAGGGAGTCTCCAGAAGGTCATACTCTGAAGAGAATGAACCTATCCCTATGGTATAAAAATCACTTCTATCCCCAGAGAATGAGGATATACTGGGCATAGCCTCAACCTCCTTGCCCCTTCTACACTCTCTTTCTCTCTTGCAGGTCCTTAAATGCCCCTCCTATGCCCATTGGGCCTGTCATGACAATCTATGAAATTTTTGGGCATCCAAAAAGCCAAGACATTCCCTGTACTTTGGAGACAATCATTCTCATTCCTATGCTGAACTTGGGTCTGGATTTAGAAAACATACATCACTGGAACTGCATTAGAAATGAAGAGTCAGACAGTAACAAACTCTCCTACATTATTTTGTTAACATTTTCTGATCACGAGGTTAATACTGATACAACTTCTAAACTTTTGTTCTTCAAATATAGTCAGCTAAAAATTCATTTTATTAGCACTGATGCCATGGAAACTTCTTTTTTAAGAATGAGGTATTTGGTTTACTGTCTCAAACAGTAGAAGTTAAGTAAACTGTAAAAATGGTTTAGTAAGTAAATGAAAATGAATGTAGAGAAATAGAAAACAAGCTCTAGGCAATATGCTATCATTATACCCTAAGAATCCCTGCTGTAGCCAAAATATATCCCTCTACTTCATACTTATAAAAAAAAACAAAATTCAGTAGGACTTCCCCTATATTTCTCCCAGAAAATACAAATAAGAATGAAGAGATGAGTGAATATGAGAAAGATCAAGAGTCCAATACGATCATTCTTACTGCCCTTTTTCCAGTCTACAAAGAATATGTATTAATGCACCAGTTCCCTTGTTTTCAGATTTTCTTAGAAAAACATTTAGAATTACAGCAACAATAGCATTTACAAGTGAGTTTATGTAGAACTGTTGTTGAGGTTCAAAATACCATGAAAGATCTTGAGAAAACTAATTTTCACATAAAAAACTGAACGATCAGGTTAGCCAAGCCCAAAATGATGATGAACATGTGAAAGATTAGTTTAGGCCATGTCAGACGCTCTTCTTGGTAGAGGGAAATTATATAGATGAGAGAAGGATATATGAATACAAAGGCCAGGCCACATGCTGCTCCTGAATATCTGCAAAATAAAAGCTTTTCAAGTTAATATGCATCTTATATTTTGCTTTTTATAATTTATAATTAAAGTATTGTAAAATTTAAATATTACTTAGTTTCATATTGCAACAAAATTATTTTTATTTATTTGTTGCTTATATTTGGGCTTAAAACTCATTTTATTTGTTAATGCAAGATTATTATGTGCTGCCTGTCTTTGTAGCATTTGCTTGACAAAGAATTTTTATTCATCCTTCAAATCTCCACAGTTCTCTGTGTTTTGGTGATGGTAGCTGCTCCCCCCAGAAACATTTGGAGATGGGTCTTCTATCTTTGATCTTTAAAAACTAATTACACATTCTGAGTTTATGTGAGAATGTTCATATCTGTTTAATAATGAAAACAGATGAGTGGCTAAGTGGCAGTCAGCATTATTACCAAAGATAGTAACAAAAAATATCTTCCTTTTCCAGTTTTAAGGAAAAGTTTATAGGAATTTCACAAGTCCATTATATTCATAGCTAATAATCTATTCTTGTTTCTTGTTTCTTCTTACTTTCTTGGGTAAGATTTTTTTTTAATATATAAAGCAACTCTACTTTGCCATGTATATTAAGGGAGAGCAAGCAGACCATTCTGAATCGAGTTTCCCATGAGAATCTAGGGTTACAACTTTATCATTAAGAAAACCTCCATCTTGGACCTAAGCTCTTAACTTTCTGACAATTAAAATAGCTTTGGCATATAAAGGACTTTGTGGGTTCTCCCAAGAAGCTATATACTGAAAATAACTATATTTCATATGATGAGAAAAAAGAGAGTGCAAGGTATATCTGAGGCTAAGGATAACAAGGCTTCTGGAATCAGTTCTCCACTGGAAATAAACAGAAATGGAATTAAAAAGACAACTCAACTGATATCAGGGAACTGCATTTGCAGAAGACATTTTTTTGGGGGGGTCCGGTCATGGGTCCTGAACTCTGGGCCTGGGCACTGTCCCTCAGCTCTTCAGCTCAAGGCTAGCGCTGCTCTACCACTTGAGCCACAGCACCACTTCTGGTTTTTTTCTTTTTTGCTTATATGGTGCTGAGGAATCGAACCCAGGGCCTCATGCATGCAACGCAAGTGCTCTACCACTGAGCCACCTTCCCAGCCCCAGAAGACATTTTTTGTTTTATGATAACTGAGGTTTGAAACTAGAGAACTAAACCTGAACATTACCAGTTTGAAAAACGTATAGATATTTTATAAAAGTCAATCAACAGTGATAACAAGAGGAAAGGCCTAAAAAATAAAAACCAATATACAAGAAAGCACAATTCTTTATAGGCAGTACCTTATGATCCCTCCTATGTTTGGGTAGAAACAGGCCATGAGCACTCCAGCTCCCACAATAATTATATTAAGAATCAGCACGTGGAAAATGCTAGAGAACAGAGGTTAAAGAAAGAAAAATAAAAACAGGAAAATTATAAACACTAATGGAATGAAATTCATTCATTCTTTTTTTTTTTTTTTGCCAGTCCTGGGGCTTGAACTCAGGGCCTGGGCACTGTCCCTGAACTTCTTTTGCTTAAACCATCACTCTACCACATGAGCCACAGCACTGCTTCTGGCCTTTTCTGTTTATGTCGTACTGAGGAATCAAACCCAGGCTTCATGAATGCTAGGCATACCACTAAGCCAGATTCCTAGACCCTTACTATTCTTTAAAATGAGTGTCTTTAAGCATCCTAATAAAATCACAGAGAAAAGAGATGGCAACATTATACAATGCTGGTCCTGAGACAGTAAAACTTTTTTTAAAATGCAATTATATAAATAGGCTAAATATATTGTAGGCACAAACAGTAGTATGATCAGAGTTCATATTCTTTGATCTACAATTCCATTTAGACTATCTTGAGAAAATAACTATGGCCATAAAAAAGCTAATAAATAAGTTTATGGAAAAAATAGAAGAATTCTAGATTTAGCAAGGCAACAATTTATAGTAAGAATTGTTAAAAACAATTTATTATTATGTTATGGTTAAATTTACCTAGGTAATCTAGAAAAAAGCTAGTTGGATTTTACTACACAAGAAAATCTAGGCAGGTGTGGTGACTCAGGTGTGGTAAGATCAGCTTTTTCAGGAAGTAGAGATGGGGAAGATCACAGTTTGAGGCCAGCCCTGGGCAAAACCTTGAAATTCTACCTGAAAGATAAAGCAAAAAAGGGCTGGAAGTGTGGCTCAAGTGATACAGCACCTGTCTAATAAGTTAGAGACCTTGAGTTCAAATTCTAGTATCACACAAAAAAGAAAAAAAATCCAAAAGCATTTGTAAAAAGAATTACACTGAAAAGACAGAAGTGCATGTGCAGGCATTATGATTTGAAATTTAAGGTAATATAATCTCTTTTCTACAATTAATATATTTGTTGTAAAGTGTTTATCATATTTCTAATAGAAAAATAAATATATATTATCAAGGAAAAGGTAAATAGAGGTTTTTATTTTTCAGACTTACCCACTTAAAACCATTCCCTGTTTACCACAAGTAGAATATTTGCTAAATACTTTAACTAGACATTAACAATACAGTTTGAGAATCAATTTTGGAAACAAAGATAAATGTAGACTAACAAATGTAGACTTGATGCTCAGAAAATAATTCTATTTCTCCCAAAAGATGATTCTCAAAAAAAAACACAACAAAAACAAATGAATACATGAAAGTAATCTTTTGACCTAAATTATCAGAGGTTAATTAATTCCAGATAAGATTATAGAAAGAATTAACCATATGAAAAATTATTTATAAGTGGTTAGTCAGATATCCTGATAAATTATGAAGATAGTCTTCAAAATCTTCCTATTTATTCAGGGACTCCAAGAGTAAAATTGCCTCAGAATTTTGAGATATTGGCTGGGATTTTAATATATTTCTGTGTTGGAAAAGGAAACAACTTTTTATTTTCCCAAATAGCAATTTTTAAAGTATGATTATGAAGTCCAGGGGCTTCCTAATACCCTCCTCCCATGAAGACTTTGAGATTAAAAAAAATCACTTTTATAATTAGTTGTACAAGATATTATCTGCTTTGCAAAAGCAATGTTGGATAAACAGTTGATCCCTTACCATGGATAGGGCAATTGCACCTATCTTTATTATATATTGTATTCTTTATTGCCAAATGTGACCAAAAGAAAAAAAAAACACAAAAAATGTTTTAGTAACAAAGTTCTTGAAAAGACTGGGGCTAGAAGTCAGTGGCAGAACATTTGCTTAACATGTATAAGATTGGATCTCCAGCATTACTGAAAAAAAAAAGAAGAAAAAGAAAGTCCCTGACAAAGGAGTAAAAATTTTATTAAATTTCATACTTTGAATATTTACTTTTTTAATACCCTATGCGGTTAAGTGTTAAGTATATAATAAAGCATACTGAAGTACAATGGTTGCTTTGGGGAAAAATACTTGTGCAATGGAGGCCAAACTAGCTGTTTTCCCCAACAAATGCAATCTCTACTTTAAATATGACCAATGGTCATCCACACTTGGGAGTTTGGCACCCATTTTGTTTTTTCATTTTGTAAGACAGTATCATATTAAGCAGCAGAGGCTGGCCTGGAATGCACAATCCTCCTAATCCTCTTGCCTCCACCTCCCTGGTAGGCAGGTACCATCACACCCAGCAGATGTTTTCTTTTTTCTTTTCTTTTTGGTCGGTCGTGGGGCCTGAACTCTGGGCCTGGCAGCTGTTCCTCAGATCTTCAGCTGAAGGCTAGCACTCTACCACTTGCGCGTCAGCCCCACTTCTAGCTTTTTCTGCTTACGTGGTGCTGAGGAATCGAACCCAGGGCCTCATGCATGCAAGGCAAGCACTCTACCACTGAGCTACCTTCTCAGCCCCCAGATGTTTTCTTTAAAATAAATGAAGAGTTATCACTTAGGAAAACACCTAGCAGAATTTGTTGGCAATGCTAACATTTAAGATTTCCTATAAAAATTAGAATTTTAAGAACTTACATTTGCTATTCTGAACTTGATATAAACGAAATGTGGATTTTAGTATATGGAAGATCTGCAAAATTTATCAAACCAATATTGACCAAATGGTGTGTGTGTGTGTGTCTGGGCCTGAGCACTTCCCTGAGATTTTGTACTTGAGGCCAGCACTCTATCACTTGGAGCTACAGCTCAACTTCTAGCCTTTTGCTAATTAACAAGATAAGAGTCTCATGAACTTTCATGGTTCATTTTGAATCTCCTTTATCCTCCTCACCCTCCTCAGTAGCTAGAATTACAGATGTGAGTCACTAGCACCTGGCAGAGACCAGTAGTTTTTTTTTTTTTTTTTGTCAGTCATTGGCCTGAACTCTGGGCCTGGGCACTGTCCCTCAGCTCAAGGCTAGCGCTCTACCACTTGAGCCACATCGCCACTTCTGGGCTTTTTCTGCTTATGTTCTGAGGAATTGAACCCAGGGCCTCATGCATGCAAGGCAAGCACTCTACCACTGAGCCACCTTCCCAGCCCCAAGAGACCAGTAGTTTTTAATATAGCCAAAATTCAGATTATACATTGTGATCCATACAAACTATAACTTGTTATGTGTTGGCATGGTATCAACTAGCTGAAAAGGCTATTAAAAGTACTCCTACTTTTTTCAACTATGTGAATATTCGTCATACATTTAAATGTAGTTATAGTATATTAGATAATGCAAAAATGGAGAATCCAATTGTCTAAAAGCACTAAAGTGTTTTAGGATATAAAAGAAAAAAAATGTATTTTTTAATAAAATATACATGCTAATGATTTTCTTTTGGCTGTACTGGGGTTTGAACACAGGGTTTCCATTTGCTCAGTATGCTTCGTTGGCTGGCATTCCTCAAGCCTTGCTTTTGCTGGTTATTCTGGAGATGGAGTCTAATGGATTTTTCTGTTTGGACTGTAATCTTCCAGAGCCTACTTAGTAGCTAGGATTACAGGTGTGAGACACTAGCACCTGGCTTTATTATTTATTTAACTTATTTTTTATTTTTTGGAGACAGGGTCTCAGTATGTTACCTAAGCTGGCCTTAAACTCAAGTGTCCTGCTTTAGCCTTCCAAGTAGCTGGTTACAAGTTGTGCCACTGTGCTTTACCTTACTGATTTTTAAGGAAATTAACAAATACCTAAAATTCCAAGTTTTTATTTTTATTTTTTTGTCAGTCCTGGGCTTGAACTCATGGCCTGTGCATTGTCCCTGAGCTACTTCTGCTCAAGGTTAGCATTCTATCACTTGAGCCATAGTGCCACTTCTGGCTTTTTCTGAATATGTGGTACTTATGGAATGAACCCAGGGCTTCATGCATGCTAGACAAGCACTCTATCATTAAGCCACATTCCCAGCCCTAAGTTTTTATTTTTAATGTTAAATATTGGTAGATATTATCTGCGAAATTTGAATCTTAAGATAAACGGAACTGCTATCAGAGCTAATTAACTATACTGGAAGGAATGAACTTTAAATCATTCTAGACAAGTGGCTTCTATTTAAAGTTCTTCTGGGAAAAGGGCACCAGTGAGCTATCCTTAGTAAGGATTTTCATTAGATAAATTTTTATAGCAAAAGGATCAGTCATACTTTAAACTGACCTGTTTGCACAGTCATTTGTTGGTTGGCACATCTTGCTGGTCAAGAGAAGAGTCCTTACCTAGGATAAATGTCACCGAAGACATGGCCCAATAGCTGGACACGAGCCAAGTAGCCTAAGAGTGGGTACACAGTCATCATCTGGAACAACAGGAATATCCTTCCAATGAAGGACAGGATGTCACTGCTAGGGAAGTTGTCTAAAAAGTTCTAATCCAAAAAGAATGAGGTAATGTTAAATTCAATTTAGTACATACAAATTCAAAACTTATTTTAAACACAGGTGCTATGCAAATTGTGTTTTGAGAAATGATGCTCATCTACTATGTACAGCTTTTTTTCTATGAAGAACAGAAATGGAAACTAAACGCTTAAAAACTTGTATGGAAATCTGATATTGGCATATTTTAATTATTTTTTATAATAGTTTCAATTTGCAACTGATTTGACATTAAAAGAAGAACAACAAAGAAAATCTTGTCCTTTACTGCTCTATATAAGGTTCAACCCCAATACCCAAATCTGGTCTTGTTTCTCCTCAACCCCTTCATTCAGTGCAGAGGACTGAATACAGGGCATTTTGCATGCTAGGCAAATACTCTACTATTGCACTATTTCCTAGCCCTTTTTCTGTTTGTTTGTTTGTTTTGGGTCCAGTCGTGGGGCCTGAACTCTGGGCCTGGGCGCTGTCCCTCAGCTCTTCAGCTCAAGGCTAGCGTTCTACCACTTGAGCCACAGCACCACTTCCGGCTTTTTTCTTTTTGCTTATGTGGTGCTGAGGAATCGAACCCAGGGCCTCAGGCATGCAAGGCAAGCGCTCTACCACTGAGCCAACTTCCCAGCCCCTTTGTTTTTTTGAGAGGTCTCATTACATAAATCAGATTGTCCTCAAACCGTAGGACTGTCTCAGCCTCTGGAGTGCTGGCACCATGCTTGACTTCCAAATCTGCTTTTATTATGTGTGCCTGAACTCAGTGCTTTGTGCTTCACTAAGAGCTTTTTTGTTTATGGTTGGTGCTCAACTGTTGCTGTCTGGCATTTTTGTTGATTAGCTGTAAACAGAGTTTCCTGGACTTTTTAGTCTGGGCTGGTGTCAAAGATTGATCCAGAGGTCTCAGCCTTTGGATTATGAATGTGAGTCACTGGCACCCTGGTGGCTCCACATCTGCTTTTAGTATATTTAATAGTAATTAAATTCAATGTTATATCTTCACTAGCTTTCTTGCTTTTATTCTCCTGAAGCACTGAAGCATTTCAAAGTAAAAATTACAGAATAAAGTAAGTATATCAATCGCCTAGTATCATCGTTTATATATAGTCTATTACCAAGTAGATTTATTTCTACATTCTTGTTTTTGGTGTTGTTTTTTAACACACAATCTAGACATGTAGCCTAGACTGAACTTGTTAAGCCCAAGCTGGCATCAAATTCACAATTCTCTTGCTTCCAAGTGCTAAGATTGTAGGCATATGCCATCATACTCGGCTTCTACATTTTTCATAATCATCACATTAGTTTGATATCTAAAAAAAGTTAATGGCCCAAAAATATTTTCCTTCCAAATACAAATACCACAAATATTCCAATTCCCAAAGGAGTAGGCTTTTGTGGGATTGTTCATATTAGGGAAATTTTCAGAAGACTTGGCTGCCAGAGTAATATTGGAATCAAGGAAATCAAGAGAACAAGAACATTTTGAGCTTTCATAACTGCAGTAACCTCTTCAGTAACCTCTTTTACTTTGAGATGAAAACACTATTAACAATCTGCTGAAGTAAGCCTGTAATTCACTAAATCACACTTTATATTGTACTACAATTATCTGTGCAATACTTTATTGGGGGGAGGTAGTATAGAGCCTGAGGCTTGAACTTAGGGCCTGGGCATTGCCCATAAGCTTCTTTTGGTCAAGACTAGTGCTCTACTACTTGAGTCACAGCTTCACTTCCAGCTTTTTGGTAAGTCTCATGGACTTTCCTGCCTGCGCTGGCTTTGAACCATGATCGTCAGATCTCAGCCTCCTAAGTAGCTAGGATTACACATGTGAACCACTGGTGCCTGGCTGAAACACTATTTTTTGATTATTCATAAATTATTATAAATTATTCATTCTCATTAAACTAAGACTACAGTACTCCTAAGTTTTTGGTGGACTAAATCAAATAAAAATTTACTTATGGGGGGCTGGGAAGGTGGCTCAGTGGTAGAGCACTTGCCTTGCCTGCATGAGGCCCTGGATTCGATTCCTCAGCACCACATAAGCAAAAAGAAAAAAGCTGGAAGTGGCATTGTGGCTCAAGTGGTAGAGCGCTAGCCTTGAGCTGAACAGCTGAGGAACAGCATCCAGGCCCAAAGTTCAGGCCCCAAGACCAAACTCCCCCTCCAAAAAAAAATTTTACTTATGGTAACTCTTAGATTTTTTTTCTCTCTCTTTTTAACAAATTATCTTCATTTTTCTGTCTGCTACTCAGTATCAAAGTGGAATCAGATCTATCCTTAAAGACTGATTAGTCAAGATGAGTTTATTCAGGGCATTTCCAGATTTGTCATACGAAGACTGAGTAATATGTACATTCTCTGTGGAGGATTTATAAATTCATGAAAACTCTTAATAACAGTTCTCTACATAAAGAAAAATATATGTCTAATAGTTGTTGATTTGAGGGCTGGGAAGGTGGCTCAGTAGTAGAGTGCTTGCCTTGCATTCATTAGACCCTGGGTTCGATTCCTCAGCACCACATAAGCAAAAGAAAAAAGCTGGAAGTAGTGCTGTGGCTCAAGTGGTAGAGCACTAGCCTTGAGTTGAAGAGCTGAGAGACAGTGCCCAGGCCCAGAGGTCAGGCCCCACAACTGGACCCCCCCCCCATAAAAAAAATAATAGTTGTTGATTTGAGCACTGCACGGTGCTTGAAGGGTAATATATTATTTCAGAATCTGTAAGTGTAATACATGATTTCAGAATCCATAAATATCAAACAGAATATGTGTTATACTAGTTAATGGAAAAGGAGACCCAGAAGGGACAGGAAAAGTGCCAAGATCTCCACATTACAAGCAGATGGTAGAGATGGTGTTCAAACACTGACCTCTATGATTTATATCTTGTCACTGTGTCATCCTGCTTACTATTCATCTAGGAAGTATAAGCAATCAGAGAGGTGCACAGTATCTTACCTGCTCAATACAATCTTTGGATAATGGAGGTGAAGGAAAAGAAGCAAAAACCAGGAATCCTATATACAGATAGGTTATTGTTACCAGCATATAAGCAATACACAGGTCCCTCACCTGTAAATATAGAACAAAATTCCCTGTCAATGTGACAAATATGAACTTATTTCTTTTACCTGGTATGTATGCTATATGTTTTTTTCCAAATTCTTTATTGTGATTAAGTGCTTACATAATTCACAAATTTCACAGTATTGTGGGATAGTGATGCTTAGTTAAAGTCACAAACACATTCTAACTTTCATGGGGCAAATTGTCTATCGTGGTCTATAACATTTATGAGTTCTATGAGCTTTGACAATACAGTTATTTCTGCCACACTGGGTGATATGTACATTTCTTTTGTTTTGTATAGCGTCAGCTGTTCCCTCTTTCCCTCTCGTTCCCTCCCTCCCATCACTGCCGTTGAGTTGCTTAGTTCATTTTGATCAATATCCAGTGCAGCTGATGGGTCCCACTGTTGTTTTTCTCTGATTCCTCCTGTGTGCTATACTTTTAACCTAATCTTCATAGAAACTTAAACTTCATAGAAAATTAAAATCTACATAACTTATAATTAATCTGCCAGGGATTTTTTTAAAAAGCTACTTAGAGCATGCAGACTAAACTATTTTTTGACAAACTTAGGAAGTTAACACAAACTGTGGTTTAACAATATTGAAATTCTGGCTTTATTTAAAAAAGTAATTTACCTACCAAATTATAAAATATCTAACTATAATAATTAAACTAAAGGACAAAAAAGCTATAAGCCACCATCAGTGTGACTTGCACAAATTAAAAAATTCTTTTGTGAATAAGCTTGTACCATCAAAGCATGCCTAAACCTATTAAAATATTTAATAAAGAACAAAAAACTAATTGAAGAATAAGTATTAAAGATCAGCTTAATAAACCTAAACAGTAAACAAAAGAAACCAAAAGGCAGCTGTTCAAATAGCTGCACAATGTTATTACTGGAATCAGTAAACAAATACTGCCCATTAAACGAAGTGGATTGTTTTCTTCAACTGCTGTTCCCACCCTCCCACCCTCACACAAAATAAAAAGCTCCAAGATATTTAATGCAGCCAGCTGTCGGATCCTAACAGAAGAGATTCCACAGCTTGCAATTTTCTTCTACCACATCTGAGGTTATAGCCAAACAATTCAGCACAACTAAACAGTGCCAATAGTCGAAATTTTAGTGTTTTTCACTTAAAACACAAATTACTATGGACAAAAGCTAACAAAGCAGATTAAGACATCAATCTTTTATAACACAGTAAGAATTACTATGTATTTGGAATTGGGGAACATTCTGATTTTTCTAATTTTTTTTTTTTTTTTGGTCAGTTGTGGGGCTTGAACTCTGGGCCTAGGCTCTTCAGCTCAAGGCTAGCGCTCTACCACTTGAGCCACCCTGCTACTTCTGGTTTTCTGAGTGGTTTATTGGAAATCAGAGTCTCACAGACATTCCTGTGTCCAGGACGGCTTTGAACCATGATTCTCAGATCACAGCCTTCTGAGTAGCTAGGATTACAGGCTTGAGCCACCAAGAGCTTGGCTCTGGTTAATTCTTTTTTTTTTTTTTTGTCCATTGTGGGGCTTGAACTCTGGGCCTGGGCGCTGTCCCTCAGCTCTTCAGCTCAAGGAGAGTGTTCTACCACTTGAGCCACAGTGCCACTTCCGGTTTTTCTTGTGGTTTCTGAAGATAGGAGTCTCATGGTCTTTCCTGCCCCGGCTGGCCTTGAACCTTGATCTTCAGATCTCAGCCTCCTGAGTAGCTAGGATTATAGGCGTGAGCCACCAGCGCCCGGCTCTGGTTAATTCTTTAAATGCACCAAAACAATAGCAGTACTTTATAAATTTGAATTTTCATAAATCTAATTAAAAAGCAAGTCACAACAAACTATGAAAAATCTTAAGGTCTTTTCTAAATTGACAACTTGAAAACAAAACCTAAATTATATGGTGGCTACGCCTATAGTTTTAAAGATACACTGATTTAAAGTCATATTGATTCTAGCTCTCCAGACTTTGGAAAATCTTACTGCTTGGGGTTGAGGGATGGAAAGATGACCAAACCTCCAGGGATGGGTTTCAAAATCTTTTTAGTTCATGAAGCTCTACTGCTTATGGCAGCCTAAAATTCAGTCACTCAAGCTTTTGTGTGGGATGAACAGAAATGAACCAGTCAACGCCTATCTTCATACAAAAGGGTAGTAGTCTCCAATTACGATGTTTCAAAGTCATTTAACCCTCAATATAAAAGCCACTCAGAAGCAGAGATAGCCTTGTTAAAAAAAAAATACGAGAGGCAAAACAGATGTGCCAAAAAGAAAGCTACATATAAAGAGGGACAGTCACCATTTCACAGGTAGTTAATTTATATATGCTACCTGATCACATATGTTGGTTTGATTTCCCGTGGAAAAAAAAGTGTACCTTAATATACACTTTGGAAGAAAATGAAGATTCTGTTAAAAATACTGTTATAATAATTCTGTTATAATACTGTTCTCACAGTATTATACACAGATCTCAAATATAGCAACTATTAAGCTATGTCATAATTGTCAGTTTTTTTACTATAAGAATAAATCATGTTCATGACATAAAAGTTTACAAATAGAGAGGAAATGTCCCTTGATATTTAAATAAGAGCCAAATTTAATCATTCCAATATCTTATAGGTATTTTTCTTTAAATTGGTGCACACCACTATTACAAGATCTGCTTCTTGGGACTGGTTCTTTTTTCATTTAATATCTCCAACACCTAGAACAACCCCTCACACACTTCTCAAGGAAGATTTTAAAAAAAATATAAAGAACATTACCTTCAATAGGCTATGTTCTAAGCTACCTCATTTAATCCTCATAATGATGTAGGTACAGTCAATTTCTTCATTTTATAGATGAGCAGAGTTTAAGTGTAGCAAAGTTACAAAACCTGTTCACAGTTACAAGGTAAGTGGCTGCTGAATTCAATATCTAATCAAAGTCTATCTGGTTCTAAATTACATGCCCTTAACTACTGTAATAGAGAGTTTTCCAGTCTGCAGTGTATTTATATCATAGTTAATAAACAACAATAAACAAAAATGAAAAGAAATTATGAGTAACAAGTGTATTACAGCACAGTAAGAGATGCCAAGAGAAATACTAAAACCAGAACAAGCACAGGCTCTATTTCATAGTATTCTAACATACACTCAGTAGAACTGGATTAGGAATTGAACATCTGTTTCCATCTGAAAATATTCTAATGAACAGAAACGATGTTTTATTAGAAAAGCAGCTAAGGCTGAGAGTCATCTGGGAAACACATTACCTACAAATACATGAGACTTGCTGTTTTTGACCTTGAACCCAAGCTACATTGTAGTAGGTTTTAAAATATGTCTTCTTAGGTGAGGTGAGTGGCTCACACTTGTAATTCTGGCTACTCAGGAGTGGGACATTGGGATCACTGTGTGAAGCTATGTCAGGCAAAAAGTTAATAAGACCACTATCTCAATTAATAAGCTAGAAGCATTGGTGCATGGTTATGGTGCATTTAACCTACATGGGAGGTAGAAATAGAAGGATCATGGTTTCAAGTTGGCCGAGGCAAAAAGCAAGACCTTATCTGAAAAACACACTAAAGGAAGAAGGGCTGAAGGTACAGCCTAAGTTCAAGGCCCTGATAGCAAACCCCAGTACTTCCAAAGGAAGGAAAAAGATATGGCTTCTTAAAATCTTATTTTTTTTTAAAAAAGGAAAGAGCTGTATTTTAGAAATGAGGCCCAAAATAAAAATTATATTCAAAGAGATACAAAAGTGACAATATAAGCTGGGAATATGTCAAAAAGCATATATTATAGGTAACTCCTCTGCTTCGGACTAGGTTTACAAAAAGGTCAGAAGTAAGTCTGGGAACACATTCTGTTTGTCAAACATAGTTTACTACTTGTTCCATGTACCACTCATAGTGGAAATAGTACCCAATGGAGCATTTACTAAGAAATATGACAAAAAACTACACATACCTACCTTAAACACATATATAAAACTTGCGCTGGTGAATGGCCAAGTAAACTTACAGACTCACATGGAGCAGAGAAATATGAACATATTAAGATATAAAGCATCTCAAATTTGTTTTAAAGAACAAGGCAGAGAAGGACAACCAAATAGAGAACGAAACAGAAAAAAAGTATATAGGTTCTGATTCAAATATAATAAACATCAAAAGGTTAATTCATATATACATAGTTATAAGGATTACATATTTTGGTGATAAGGAGTTTATCTTCAACCTACTAATTATTTTTGGTAAGCTAAGCCTTACTGAGGAATACAAATAATACCATGCTAAGCAACAGATATGAGTCAGCTGGGTGCTGGTGGCTTACCCCTGTAATCCTAACTATTCAGGTGCCTGTGGTATGAGGCACCAGGCAGGAAAGCCTGTGAGACTCTTATCTCCAATTAACCACCAGAAAATAGAGAGGAAGGGGGCTGTGGCTCAAAGAGGTTCAGTGCTAGCCTTGATCAAAAGAGCTCAGGGACAGGGCCCAAGCCCTGCATTCAACCCCCCCCCCTCCTTCTCCCCCTTCCCTTCACCCCACCTCCGCCCTGAGGGGAAAAAAAAATTAAGAATCAGGTGTGGTAATTAATGTCTGTAATTCTAACTAGTTGAAGGGAGAGTTCAGGAGGATTTGGTTCAAGGCTAACCTGGGCAACAAGCGAGACCCCCATCTCAGCCAATAGTTTGGCACAATGGTGTCAGCCTAGTACATCTTACACTGATTGCAAGGATTGTGGTCCTGACTGACACATGTAAAAAGAGAGATTCTATGTAAAAAAAAATAACCAAAACTATGTGGACAAGGCCAAAAGGGAACTCTGTTACTCTGTTGGTGGGAATGTAAACTTGTTCAACTGCTCTGGAAAGCAGTATGGTGGTTCCTCAAAAGACTAAACATAGAGCTATCTTATGATCCCGAAATTCCACTCCTGAGCATTTGTCCAATAAACCACAAACAAGACCACAGTAGAGCTACGAGCCCAACCATTTTCACTGCAGAATTG